GGCTTCAGTTTTCCCACCCATGCAGTGGAGTTAGTCATTCCTTGCATCCCAGGGCACTGCCACACCAACTCTGATCAAGCCTACGGAATTCTCTGCAGCAGGAGATGCTGAGTGTGTCTAGTCTCTCTGCGCCTTTAGAACTCATTTTGTTCATTTGCTATTACTAGTACATCCACGGGTAGCGTACGGGAAAATATAGAAACTCTTCGAGTGCCAGGCTGTTACATCAACTGTGCACGGAGTAGAAACACATGCCAGACTAAAAAGCAGAGCTTGAGTCAAAAATGCTGTTTAGCTGAACCACAAATCATTAAAAAATGAGAAGGAAGACGTCAGCGTTTAGGCTAGGAGTGATCTCATCTAACTCAACCTTTCGAGAAGTCAGGAAGTCTTGCTAGTTGTCCAAGTCCCCACTGCAGCCAGAAAAGAGGTACAGTTAGATGGTATTCTGTCACCCAAGGTAGGTGGTACCATAAACCCATATGCATTTGTTGGACTCACCACCAGCTCCTGAGACAGCAAAAATACACCACTTGCTGTGGTATCAGCACTATGAGGGTGTACATACCAGAGCTGTGAAAATCCAGGTTTTTAAGAAGGCAGTAGAGGACCTCTGACAGAGACCATTTCCAGAAGAGTAGACCTATCACTGTGATGAAAACTCAGAGCACGCTGCCATCCCACAAAAATCTTTAACAGATCTCTGCTCATTTTGTGTTACAACAAACTGGAAACATAGAGGGGTTTTTTACACAGTTCTCTTCTAAGGAACTGCAATTAGCAGACTGGTGAGAAGTGTGGAGGAACACACCAGGCAGGGAGCAGTACTAGAGATGACGAAATGGCTCGAGCTTCTCCGTGGCTCCTGAGCTGCATAAGGGGAAAGTTACCACTCACTTCCACAAATAAGATCAAAGCATCAGATCTTGATGACTTTCTACAGATAGAAAAGAGGGTGGGATGCTCTGTCTAGCACTGTGTTCTCAGAAAATGAAAAATCGTAAAATATTAGTTGCATAAATCTCATCCCCTATACTCTTAAAAACCTTTCCACTTTTTATTTCTAGAAGTGCATTTATGTGTGGGTTCCATATTGAGAGACAATTCCCTGAAATTAGGCTAAAAACATGAATCTGGTAGAGAGGAGTCATCACAAACTACTTAGCATGTAAACCTGACAGCATGTATTCTTGTTTACAGTTGGTTTACAGTTAACAGGGACGGATTACCTCTGACCAAGGCAAGGTGTTTAATGTAGACCTCTACCTCTGAGCTAGTCATACAAGGACCTTCGCACATTTTTAGAGCATGATTCATCCAACTTACTTCATATTTTTACTTTAGGGTAAAAGGAGTCATGTTTCTCAATTGCCCATTTCTCTCTGTTGACTATGAGGAAAGACTGGAGTGACTAGTTCTGACTGTAGATGACCATAATTCATCATATAGATTACATCTCTCGAGTCCAAGAGAATGAGAGAGATGCAAAAAAAAGAAGCAGTTCTGAACAGGAGACAGAAGGAAAAAGAGACTCCATAAATGGCAGGATCACATTACATGTCCCTGAGTGCAGGGATCTTAAATTGCAAGCTTGTGACATTTATACCAACAGTCAATAAATAGGTCAAGGAAGACAGAAAATCAATGAGTTTCAACCGTACACCTAGGCTGGTGACAAACTCAATCTCCATTGAGGCAGAGAATCAACAAGTAAGAGTTCTCTATTTAAAAAAAAAGTTGTTTTTTTTTTTAATGTCTAGAAAAGTCTTAAACCTTTTTTTAGCTATGAATCATGAGCTGAGTTGTAAACCCATGAGAAATATAGTCTGCTGGCTAAGTTACTAGTGGGAAACCAGGGATGGAGTTGGAAGAGGTCAGGAACTGCTGCCTTCCACTTCAGGAGTTTTTATTGATTTACAAATTTGTACCAGCTCTGCCTCCTGGAAAAGGAAAGTAAATCCACTGAGACAGATTTGTAAGTGATTCACAAGGCTGTGGGACCAAATACATGTAAAATTTCACTTCATCAAATACTTCTAGCTGGCAAACACTCGCTATGCTTCTGGTTACTACCACATATGAACTAGAGTATTTAGCAGTGAACGCTGTAACACAACAACAATAACCCTCAAAACCGATCCTCTGCTATACAAGGCAAAGAGCAGCACTATGGGAAGGAAATCCCAGGCTCACCCGCATGGCACATCTCTTATCAAACTGCAGTAGCACCAAGGTTTGCACATCTACCCTACGCAGAGAGATCCATATTGGCCAGTGTGGAGGAGACACCCAAGCTCGCGGACCACAAACCACTGTTCAGACCTGAATGGAGAACAGCCTGTTGTGGAACCCACACCAAAAGCCAGGTCAAGCTCAGTGGAGTTAGATGCACCTATATGCACCTGTATACATCTATAGGGGAACGGGAACAAAGCCACCGTGCCAACAAGCGTGCGGGAGCGTGGTGCGGTGCGGATCCGCCATGCAGGCCAGCTCCTCCTCATTCCCCTCCTCGGTATCGATGTGCCTCGGGGAACACAGGCACATCTCCCTCAGCACATGGGGTGACACCATTGAGATGGAATATTGCAGAAGAATAAAAATAATGCACTAGAGAAGAATTTTGCTGAAAGCACAAACTTGCTTGGAGTCCAGCCTGCTCACATACCAGGATGAATTTGGCCCAGTTTATATCCTAATGATTATAATGGATACTGCAGTCTTCTTTTCATTAAGGCAGCAGCCAAAAATATTGATTTGTTGTACTTCACGCTCCTGCTTACCTTCACAAATTTCAGGAGAGACGGTGCATAAGCCAATAGAGTCGGTCAGTTTAAAAGTGACAAATTAACTGCACTGAAAGTAAATAAACAGCTATCTCTTTGTAAATTAATTCAATATGTGACTTGAGCTCTTTTCTACAGCTAGAAAGCTGATTCATCATTCAGCAGCATTTAAGTTGCCACCAGTTCAATAGCAGAGTATTAATGTTGTGTCCTATTTGACATAGCAGGTCAAATTCTGCACTCGGGTTACAACAGCACAACTCAGAGTAACTCTTGAACCCTTGCTCTCCACATCACCCTGGCTGCAGCTATGCACCCAAGTGTTCTCCAAGTTGGTTTCGAGAAGACTTAAATTGTATTGAACAGTGGGGAAAACAGAAAGAAGAAGAATCCAGAAGTCTTTTGATCTGCTGGATTATCAGGTGTTTTCTGGAACAGTTTAGAGAAAGAGCACAGCTTGGTGCATTTTCATGAAAATACTTGTGAAAGTGTGAAAGGCAGACAAATATTTGCAACTTTTAAAGTTTGGGGGGTTGTGGGTTCCCCCCCCCCCAACTAGATTTCAATTCTGGAAAGAAACTAAGTATGTTTAATGTGGAATATTGAGTACATGACAAAATACATGTGAAAACATGATTTGTGCTTTACTGAATGGGGCCCCAATTTATTATAGGCTATTGCCCCTCCTAGTCTAGGCACAGGGTAAAAAACCTGTTTAATTTATTAATGAGTGACATGCACTAACTTAGTGTCCCTACCAATTCCTTTCAGTTCAATAAATGTTGAATCCTGAGATTTCCAGAGCAATACTGCAGCATTTGGACCAATCTCCCATTGCTTTATAAAGAACCTGTTTAGCTGAAGTTGATGCTACTCAATAAAGAGGTAGGCCAAAATTTTGAAATGCAGGAACTTAAAATTGAAATTCACATTCAACCGCCTCCATAATGTCAGCTGAATGCCTTCAACTGCAATTAGCACTGTAGGATACGTGAGTTCTTAACGTTTCTGGAAATTAGAGTAGGTGCCCTCTTGACTTCTGACACTCAAGTTTGATGTTTCTGGACACAAGGTTTTGACTGTATCATCAGTGCACAGCTGCAGCAGAGACTATAGCACAAATAGAATAAAAATATTTTTCACTGCTTATGCTCAGACGCGATCCACAGCATTTGTAATGTCTGTTTTTCATAACGTTCAGTTTAGAAAGTTGACATTTGATTAAACAGTTTGAATTTGCCAAAACATACATTGTAATCTTATGTTTTAATACCAATTCTCAATTAAAAGCTTTAGAAAAAGACATATAAAGTCTGCTTAAACCACAGTAAACCCACAGACCTAACATATTTAATATAATTTCTGAAACTGTTGACTAATATTTTCTAATTTCTTCACTACTTCTAGTACCACAGCTGCACCATTACTCCCAACAGCTATCAGATATTTAAACAGCCAGTTTGTTAAGTGTTTTACTAGATAGGCTTTTATACTTAGTATTTTCCACATTTTCCAATAGGGTGACGTGCTAGTGAAGTTCAACATCTTGAAAATCTTCACTCTGTTAATACTGTCTTCTGACATCAATGTTCATAATAGTACTGCCACCAAAGGAAAGCTAGCACAGCTGGTTTACAGTTAAGTATCTTCCCCCGCATTTCTACCTTTACACAAACATGCCAACACTGAGGAACAGTGTGCTACAAGTAAGCGTATTATACAGAACGGCGTATCATTCCAGACTGCTAACTCCTGTGAAAAATGACACCCAACAACAGTAAGAACAAGACCACAAACAGGTTTTAGGATGAAATAATTCTTGTTTCATGCTCCTTATTTCCTTTCATTGGGTTTAACACTGCATTCAAGGTCATGAGTGTTGTGACTCTGTGTAGGTGACCTGAGTAATTTACAACAATCAACAGATAATACATGACTGGAAGTGAGTCATTCCATAACTATCACTGCTTTCTAAATGGAGTCATCACATAGCTGCTGAAAAGGAATGTGTATTATTTCACACTCACAGAGTGATGAATGTAACCAGGTAATTAAATCATGTCATTGCTGTGCCTGGAAAATCCTTATTTATAATTTTATCTTGCCTGTTAAGAAGAACTGAACTTCTTGTTAAGGGTAGAAATTAATTATACCTAAGCTTTGCTTTTGCAAAAGCCTCTATGAAGGGAAAAGGAAATTAGAAACAAAACTCACCGGTTTCTTCATCTATGCTGAATCTCCCCAGGCCACTGCCATCCCTAATGGAATACTGGATCTCTCCATCCCTTCCAGAGTCCTCGTCTCGAGCAACAACTTGCAAAACACTTGTACCAATGCGGGAGTTTTCCTTTACAGATCCAATGACAGCAAAGTCAGGAAAATAGGGGGTATAGAGATTTTCGTTAACATCCACCACTTCAACTTCCACAAAAGAAACCGAAGAGAGGGAAACCGGGCGCCCCTTGTCCTTTGCGCGCACAGTCAGGTTGTAAAACTGCTGCTTCTCGTAATCGAGCTCTTTGTTCAAGCGGATGGCACCGCTCGCTTTGTCTATCTCAAACCGCCCATTGTAATCGTTCACCAGCGAGTAACGGACTTGGCCTCCCAAGCCGAGATCTGGATCGTGAGTTTCCAACCAAGCTATGACAGTGCCAACTGGCAGGTCCTCAAGGACCTTCACATTGTAGCTGGATGGTATAAAGGCTGGAGAGCAATCATTGACATCATCCAAAAAAACCTTCAGAGGCACAACGGAAAATTGCTGATGGCCACTCTCTGCTTTGTCCCTAGCCTCGATCTTCAGAGTGTAGTTTGCTTTTGATTCCCGGTCTAGTTGATCGGCCACATACACCATTCCTGTGGAACTGTTGATAGCAAATTGCTGGGTGTCTGTCAGTACTGAGTAAGTCACTTCACCATTAGGTCCTAGGTCTTTATCTCTGGCTTCTACCTGAATAATCTCTGTACCAAGACTTGTACTTTCTAAAATATTAACTGAGTAACTGTCCTGTAAAAAAACAGGCTTGTTATCATTTGCGTCCTCCACAGTAACAGTCAACAGTCTCCAAGCAGATTTCTGTGGATTACCTAAATCATAAATGGTAATATTAAGGAGATAGAGCTCTGCTTTTTCACGGTCCAAGGGCATAAGAACATTAAGCACCCCCGTCTCCACGTCAATGTTGAAACAACTATCTACATTACCATCAGAAATTGTATAAAGTACTCTTCCATTAAAGCCTGAGTCTGCATCATAGGCTTTTATCCTCAGGATGGTGGCACCAACTGGCAGATCCTCCGAAACCTTTACATCAGTAGGGAAGGATTTGTCAAAATGCGGTGCCTGCCTGTTCACTGAATAAAAATCGAGAAAACCATCTTCCAAATTCAGTTTCACATTTGCTTTTGCCTTTTTGAGTAATTTTTCTGCTAGCTTTTGAGCGACTCTAGTTTCTCTACAGCTAAAGGTCTTTGAAGACACTTTCCCATGAACTACCGAAATATTAACAAACATAGCATCAGCAAAGTTCTCTCCATCAGTTGCCGTTATCTTAAGGCCAAAATTGCTGTTCTTTATGCCAGAATTAATTAGAGATTTTTTAAGTTGCAGGACACCAGAGTCAGGATTTAAATAAAAAATGCCAAGTTCATTTCCAGAGATTATTTTGTACTTCACAAGCTCTAACTCATCTATGTCTATTGCAGAAACAGCAGTGATGTGACCACCAACGGGAAAATCAGAAGAAATCACTCCCTGACATGCCACTTTTTCAAAGAGGGGTTTGTTATCATTGACATTGCCTATGTATATGGTGACATTCACCTCGCTTTCATGGCGGTAGGGAGAACCCCAGTCGGAGGCTCTCACAATGAACCTGTAGCTTTCTGGTGAGGACTCAAAATCCAGTTCTTCAGATGTGCTGATGACACCTGTAAACTGGTTTATTGTAAATGGTAACGAGTTCAGACTGGCAATGCTGTATGTTATGTATCCATTTTCCCCCCTATCTTTATCAACTGCTGAAACTGCCAAAACACTAGACCCCACAGGGACGCTTTCGTTGACGAACGAGCTGTAGGAGGGCTGCTGGAACTCCGGAGTGTGATCGTTGGCATCTTCTAACCTGACAGTAACGTGTGCTTTTAAATCACCACCTTTGTTCGTATATACTTCTAATTCATAGACGTCCTTCTCAACGATTTTCAAAGGACGAGCAGTAGTAATAAGCCCTGTGTTAGGATTGATCTTAAAATACTCAGCTTCCTCACTTGGAGATATTCTATATTCCACACCCTGTGGCTCAGGCATCAGCTTAACTGCTGCAACCACCACACCAGGAGGTGAAAATTCACTGATCAAAAAATCATATGCTTCCTTTTCGAACTTCATGGGGATACTTTCTTTCTTGGGACTAGCAATGTGGACCAGTTTGACCGCAGAAAATTTCTGAGGAGATCCTTTGTCCTTCGCTTGGAGGGTAAGATTATAACCATATGGGAAGGTGTCCCAATCAATAGGCTTTCTTTCTTTGATTTTGTACTCATTCATCCATTTACCTTCTTTAGTCAGAAAGAACTGTTCTAGTGGATCTCCAGCCACAATAGAAACAGATTCTATTTCTCCATTGGCTCCTTCATCCAGGTCGTCAATGTTAACAACTGCATAGATAGGCTCCTTGTCTGATGGGAAGGGAATATGGGTTACTACATTTATCGTCGGGGCATGTTCATTTATACGTTCAATGTGAACATAAAGCTTGGCAGTGCTGCTTACGCCATTGTTTCCGTAAAGCTTCATCCCACGGTCCACAGCCAAAATCTCAAGATCGTATCTGTTTTTTTCATCATAGTTTAAGCGGCCACTTAAGGAGATAACACCACTTGTAGGATGAACTGAGAAGAGATCAACTTTGTTTTTGAAGTAATAATAAAATTCACCATTGGACCCAATATCCGCATCTGTTGCGGTCACTTGTGCAATGCTAGTCCTTAAAGGAGTGCTTTCCGCTATCGTGACAGAGTACGTGGTTGGTGAAAACAAAGGTCTTAAGTCATTCATATCCAAAACCTGGATGTTCACTTTTGTCCATGCTTCCAAGTCCTCTCCTCTGACAGATCCTTTCACCATCAATAAATAGTTGTCCTGGATTTCTCTGTTCAATATAGCAGAATTCCCCCCTTTAGTCCTTATTCTTAGGAAGCAAAAGTCAGCAATAATGACCTCCTCTGCTTTAAAAAAGCCCTCGTCATCACCAGACACTATCCGGTACTTGATATCCCATGAAAGGTCAGCCAAGGTAATGCCCATCCTTGTTTGACTGTTGACATAGGTCCTGGCTGCAGAATTCTCGTACACCGTAGCATTGTAAGTGGAATGTGTAAAGTGAAAGCCAAGCGGGGTGGTCCCATGAGCTACCTGGCAAATGGAGGCCAGGAGCTTGACAATCAGAAGGGCAAGGCATGACAGAGGTAGCCGTGAGCCTGACCAGTGGCCCATATTCACCTCCATCACATCATTCTTTCACCCTGTGACAGAGAGAGAAAACAGGAAATAGTTGATCAAGAGATAAAAACTGTACTGTGAAGTTTCATGTCAAAATTACTTATTAAATTTTTAATTAAAAATAAAATATATATACTAACTAGTCACTATATATTTAACAAAACAGAAAGGGAGAACACTATACACACACAAGCACACTAGTTTTGAATTATATTTTTACATGTGTGTGAGTGTATAATATGTATGTGTGCACCAATACATGCACATATACATAACTATATATATGTGTGCATATACACTTTTTTAACATAAAAAACCCTGAGGCCCTACCAGATCTATACACACCTGCACGTAGTCCAGAATAACAATCACAGTGAAATAAATTAAAATCAGACACACACATTTGAATAAGTTTACATAAAAGGATGAACCACATACAGAATTTGTTGGTTTTATTTGTCAGTAGCTCCAACTAAGCCTAAACTTGTTTGTTTTCAGAGCATATTGGAAAACTCATTTTTAGTCCCAGTGTTTGGAAAGGAGACAGGATTTTCATTATGTATATAGCACTGTGATAGTCAAATGTTACCGGGTTTTTTTATGGACAGTTAAGGAAGATCACATGGTTGATGAAATTTGAGCCACCAAGAACAACCAGTACATAAAAGTCACTACACAGCCATTACTTTAACTACAGATACCTTCAGAAAAATCAAAATTAAGGAAGAATTATGGCTAATTAAATGCAATTGCATACATATATGCATATGCATACCCAGATACTGAGGACAGGCAAAATACAATGAAGAAAATAAAACTGCTCAATAAAGCTCTCAGGTGAAGACTCAGGTTAGGAAACAGCACAGCTGAGAGAGCTCGTAGGACTTAACTCTACCCTTGCATATGTTCCACAATGCGTCTGTAATTACAGTCACCACTTTCCACCAAATACACTGGGTAACATTTCCTAAATGAGGCCACAGATGATAATTTTTTTCTGTATGTCCAATAAATCCTCCATTTGCTGGGTATTACTGCCATCCCAACCTAAGAAAGGTGAAGACGCCCTCCAATCTACTGCCTGCCCTGCTGCCAGCAGGTCACCCTGACTAGCAAGAGCATAAATGCATCCTTACTCAGGTGGAGTGAATTCCAGCTTACATCACATTTCACTTTCGTAACCCCAAGCAGAATTTGGCTACACATAAGGCATACGATTCCATTGCTGTGAGCCTATCTCAATCCAGTCTGTCCCACTCCAGCCACCTCAAAGCAGTGACAGCCTTTCCATTGATTTCAAAAGGCTCATCATAAATGTACGTATTCAAATGCAATTAATAAGCAGCCATTTGGGGAAGATTTGGAGTTCCTCCTTACAGTCCTGTTGTGGAATAGCTCCAGTACCTCACTTCAGGGATCTAAACTGGGAGGTTAAACGGAGACAGGGCAAGCAAAGACATTGGCTGAAGGTTACTGGAGGGTGCTGCAGAAGCTGGGAGCCAGGTCCTGCTTATTGCTTCCCCCTGAAAGGAGAGGAAAGGAGCCCAAGGAAACCAGGCAGCTGCTTACAGTGAGGTAGTGTGAATAAGCTTCTTTGTTACAGAGTACATTCGCTCCTACTTGTGAAAATCATAAAAATCAATTCTAAAAGGCAATTATTGAAAGACCCACTGCACACATACATTGTTCTCATTGTCATTTAAAAGCTGCTTGAAAACGTAGTTTTCTCCAAGCTAGAATACAGAGTGGAAAAGGATAGGAAAAGTCGATAATGACAGGGGTTAATTTAAATTTCCAACATGATTTCAACATCCCCTAGGAGACTTATAAATTGCACGCAAGTTTTGGAATATGAATTCATGTTAGTTATCACTTCCAATATAACTGAATGACTATTGCAGTTTTAAGTACTAACGACAATCAATTTATCGCACTGGTGTTATAATGTTCACACAACACTTAACTTCCTGATCCCACAGTCTATATCCCATTGCTTAACACATTAATCAATTTGATCAATTCTCCCAAGCGTTTGTCAAGGCACTCATCTTTCAATACACTTATTTTCCCATGCAGTTCTCTCCCCGCTTTGTTTCCTTCTTATTTTCTTTTCTATTCTACCAACAAAAAAAAGGAAACTCTTTAAAAAGAAAATAAAAATGTAAGACTGTACCACCTCCTGGACCTGCATTCCCCAGTAACAGACAAATCCCCACAGAACTACATGTGACAGTTCCTTTTCTGAATGTGCCCACTCAATTGCTATGCACGTATCGTGTGAGTCCTATGATTAACATCTTATCCCATACAGTTTATACATCAAATATGCACAATTATGCAATATGCTTTGTGTACGTGAGGGAACGGGTTTTCCTGTGCTTCTCCCCATGCTCAGGTTGATCCCTAGGAGACCCAGGATGGAATACTTCTACTTCAGCTAGGAAAGATTTTTTTTTATCGTTGTTGCCACTTCACTCAGCTAAAAGATCAGAGCAGTGGCACCTTATTTTTCAGCACAGCAAACATTCATCAGCTTAATCCACCAGTGTGAAAATATCAAAGTCCCTTATTTTCATGGGGTTTTATGCGATCACTTTGAGTACTGCCACTAAAAGCTGCTGCTTCAGCCTAGCGTGGGAGACGATGCTCTCAAGTAGAAAATACAACCAATATATGGTATGCTGCCAAGGAAAAGCCAGCCAAGGGGAATGAGAAATTCTAATGAGAGAGACCCAACTCATAACAAAATAAAGGGCTGTGCCTCTTCTGTAATGTGGCATTATTAAAATACTCAACAGACAAATGACTGTATTGCTGCCTTTCACCAAGAGCACTTCAGCATCCTCCATCTGTACTGCAATACCAACCTCTCCCCACTGCTAAAAATGAATTTTTGCTGGCTTACTATGGAGACTGATACCATGTTTCATATGAGCACCCATACTTTATTTTACCGCAGCTCAGCAGCTTCCCAGAAATAGGTCTCTTTGGAGTAATGAAATGAATCGTATTAACCTATTTACATCTCATTTGGTGGTTTATTTTTTCCTGTCCATACCATAGTTCAGACTGAGCTGGTTCCTCTCAGTCATTCATGGCCATCAGCATCGGGCTTCCAGGTCCACCATAATCAGAAACCAGTTTTCCTGAGAAATTCATTGCGACAAGCAGAAATGATTTAAAACTTTACCTTCAGGTTAGCCATACCCAAGGTTACAGACTCTGCTGTGGCAGGCAGGCATCAAAGTAGATACTTACAAAGCTATGTGATTAAGTGAACCTAATGAAAAAGTTGTGTATATCCCAGGCAATATAACATGACAACCTTATGCTCCCATTCCATTTATCTCTGTATTTTTAGAGAAAGACAGGACTAAGACCTAATCTCAAATACACTGCTGTAAATCCTGCCATGTCAATAGTCTACAAAGTTCTAGTGGTTCAGTGCAATCAGGATCAGTCCTGAAACACTAAATTCCACCTAGAAACAACATACGTGTGTGTGTGTGTTTGTGACTGCATGTTTTAGTTATGTACACATTTGTATACACAAACACACAGTTTGTGTATTTTTAGGTATAATTTCAGGGTTGGCACTAGAAAAATTGGACCTTCACATCAGGCAGCACTTTCAGAGTTTGATTTCATTTCAGATGTGGCATGCAGAGTTGTAACAAGCTCCTCATTGAAGTTATTCATCTATCCATATATTTATATGGCCATCATTATTATATTATTTGAAAGTCCCAATGGATGAGCTATTAAACTGGCACTTGGGCTACCCAGGAATGTTTTATTCATTTACTGAATTCCTTTCTTCTGGGATATTTGTTTTTAAGAGCTCATAATACATACATACTCAACGCAAAGGAAATGTAATGCGATAGGTTACAGAAACAATGTACAAAGCAACCTACCGTAAATTAAAAGGCATTTCTTTAAAGGCACTTCTTGTCAAAAAAATGTTATGGTTTCAAGTAAAGAAAAAGGTTATGATTACTTTTGCTTGATTTTGAAACATTTAGGCAGGAGCTACTCAAAAAAAAAAAAAAAAAATTCCCCTGGTACTATTCAACATGTTTAGTCTGAAGAAAAGACACAGATCTAATAAGAGCAGAGAATAAAAGAAAAAACCTCCTAACTACCCAAGGAGGTGACAAGATAACACAAAGTCAGAGTCCAGCACCTTTCCACTCTAGCTCACATTAAATACTCTGGCCTTGAAGTAGGAAGGAAGGAATGGAGAAATAGAATAGTGTGTCTTGATTTTTAATACTCTTTAAAACAAACTTGAACATCATGGAGAACTCTATAATTTCACATTCAGTTCTCCACTCAGTCACTTTCCTTTGCTCCTGAGCAAAGATTTAACTACGTGACCCAAACCTTGCAGAATAGCAGAAAAGCTTTAGGTGGCTGGTGCTCCTTAGAGGAATTGAGAGAGGTATGAGCGTCATTCCTTTTTCTCATCTTGGCTCCAGCAACCTCCATTCTGGGCTGCATCCAAACATAACACCCCACTAGACTGAGAAGGAAGACTCAGGACCCAGGAACTGGCAGGATCCCTGCACACCAAAATCGTGGCTCTAATTCAATGTGCAGATGTAAAACAAGTGCTGCGTGATCCTTTGTTTGACTCCCTCTCCCTAGGCTAATTCTTCTAATCCCAAAGATCTCCATACCAGAAAATACTTGAAAAAGAAAGGAATGCATATACCTCTTGGGAAACTCTGAAAATATTAAACAAGACCCAAAAGGACTTTTATAGAATATAAAGAATATAGCAGGTAAACTTCTTCAGCAAACAGGAGGAATAAGCTTTTGGCAGACCACAATAGGGAAAAGAAAAGAGCCTTCTACTCTGTCCCTACTTGCCCTCCAAGCCCAATTACACCCTATGAGATAAGGATTTTTCCAGCCGACCATCAGGTAAATTAACTTAGGCAATGTAACTAGCTAATACAATACAACTATTTAAGACTTTCTCCAGGTCCTTTGAAAAAGAAGACAGAAGAAACCAATC